CCGGACGGGAGGCACCCCAAGGGAGGCACTCGGAGCCTGGAAGGTGGTCGGGCGCAGGGAGGTGGGCGGCTCAACGCAGGAGCGCCCCCTACTGGCCCGCCACAGTCCCGACCCTCTTTACAAAGCCCTTCCCTCGGCATGGGAAATGCTGCATGAGCCGATGCCTCTCAGCCCCCTGGGAGAGCAGCCCGATGCCTCGTGCAGAGGCCTCCTGGTAAAAACACGCCATAATGCCATCTCAGGGGCATCAGAGGCAGCCCAGGGTGGTACGTGGCTGCTCAGCTAATGGCCACGGGGTGGGGTTGACAGTCATGGGGCTGCTTCACTGCACTGCCCCATGTCAGTCACCACCCAGCCCTCCACCCCATGCAGCAGCTTCCTGCCTGCCCCCAAGCCACGGATATCCCCAGGGCAAAAGGAGCAGGGAGCAGCAGCCCTGCCATAAGTGGCTTTGCACTGGGGCGGATTTGGCTCGACATCGCGAGTGATGGCGAGCACTGGAGAGAGGCCGGACCCGCAGAGATGTTCTCCTCTCTGCGGGACGCGAGACCATCCAGGCTGCTAAGGGCTGAGAGCATCACGAGGTGGGACTGCAGGGCGGGTTTCCCATGGCTGAGCCGAGCCATTCCTCTCCAGCACCCACGTTTGCTCCGGTCTGCCTCTCTGCACCCCACGACTTACCCCTAACACTAAGGGGCTCCTTGCTGGCAGGGCTCCACGGCGGATACCGTGGTGAGGGATGAGGCCTGGGTTACACCTGCAAGCCACTTAAGGAGATGGTCTCATGATGGAGAAGCAGGTGGGAGCATGTCATCTCAGAGCTCAGCGTTTGGGGGAGACCACCTGGAAAATCAGCCGCGCTGCTGATGGAGTAGCAGCCTCATGGCCTCTGGCCTGAGAACCAGCGCTCCTAACGCACCTGTGTCTGCTCTCCCCTGCACAGCGGGCAACGCTGTCCTGCTCCTCCTCACCCGAGACCAGAGGGGAAACATCTGGCTGAAGAATTGGGGTTGCCAGGTGACCTGCTGCAGGCCGGGGGTCTGTGCTAAGAGCCCGTCCGGCTGTTAGCAGGGACTTGCTGAGCCCAGCCCTGCCGGCTGCACAGGGGGCTCCGACCCACGTCTTCCCCATCGCTCACGACATCCCCTCCTCCCTCATCACAAAGATGGGCATCCCCCCCGACTCTACAAACACAGAAAAGATCCAGGTCATACAAAAGGGCCGAGCCCGGCTGCTCTGCGGTCGCCCCGCGGGCCGGGAGCTGGAGGGAGCCCCGTCCTGAGGGGCGCGGAGCACGGGCTCAAGCGCCCCTCAGGATCCAGCCCTCGGCGCCGCAGAGACAGCTGACGAGACTTCAGCCTAGGTAGCGAGATGCAGGTGATAGCTATGGCACAGCTGGAAGGGGGAAGTGCTGTCACAACCCAGAGGCTCCCGGTAAATGTAGAAAAAAAACCAAAAATCATACAAAAGAGAAGAAGCCCAATGCACAGGCGTTACGGGAACAACCGCGCGGCACCTGGAGGAGATGCCTGTTTATCTGTCGTTCAGCTGGGGCGAGTTCGTCCCCTCCTCGTCCTCCTCCTTGTCATCCTTCATGCCTTTCAGTCTCTGCCGGGCGAAGTCTTCGAACACGATATCGTCGTCACTAGCGGGAGACACGAGGCAGGAGCATTATAGGGGCAGGGGGGTGCAAGGGTCATGGCAGCGGGGCGGCCAAGGCCGTGCTGAGAAATGCGTGCGAGAGGCAGAGCCGGGCATGGTGCATAAAGAAACACTGGGCACAGGGCATGCAACAGAGCCAGCTCAAAGCAGGGGTCCTGCCCTTCGATGGCAGACACTGCACTTGCTCCAGAGAAATGTCGCTGAGCAGCGGGTTTAGGGGTGCGGCACGAGGAAGCAGGTCACGTACAAGAGCAAACCGCTTGCAAAGCGGAGACCGGAGCCTGCAAGACCCAGGGTCTGCCTGTCCTTCGTCTGGGCAGCATCCGTCTGTCATCACCCCCCTCCATCAAGGACTGGTCCCTTGCTTGGTACCACTGGAAACGGTCTCATACAAGATGACTGTGGAAGTGGGCAGGAGGGGAGAGCAGGGGGGGCATCCAAGTCGCACCCCGAGGGGTCAGGGCAATTTGTGGCTCTCCCGGCCAGCATGCAGGATCTGAGCATGGGCTAGACCTAGGCACAGGCCAACGAGGCACGGCACGGCGCTCCTGTGCAATTGAACCGAAACAAGGTTTCTCCAAGGATGTGTTGCAGAACAGGGGGCTTGCAGGCCCCCAGGACCGGGGTGGATCATAGCAGACTTCCAGCTGGCACTCCCCAAAAGATGGGCCAGCTCTCAGCGTGGGCACAGGGAGTTTGGGAGCACCGGAGGGAGAAGGAGCTAGCAGGCAAGGGCTGCAACAGCCCTGTGACACAGAGCACCCCGAACCTCCACCCTGCACCGAGAACGAGCTGCCCCATGGCTCAGCTGGGAACCGGCTTTGATCGATCTCTAGGTTTAAGATGCCTTTGCAGCTTTGAGGAGACCTGAGAGGAGGCTGCCCTTCGAGGGAGGGAACACGGTGGAAACCAGCTTTAATGGACGTCCCACGTCTGCACAATTGCATCCTATGAGAGCAAGCGTCCAAAATCGGACTGCAAAGAGAAGTCCCCTGGGTGGTAGTTTCAATAGGGCTTTGGAAAGCCCACCCCTAACAGCTCATTCCCAGCCCCTAAGGGAGCAACTGGATTTTCAAAGGTGCCAGGCAGCCCCTTTGGCTCATTCAGACGCCGGTTCCGCCAACCCAAGTTACCAAGCACCTGCTTCAGGCTGCCCTGAACTGAGCCCAGACCTCTGAAACACCCAACCTAAGGCCCCAAATCAGCTGGAATTTGGGGACGTGCTGAGCTTCCGGGTCTGCAGCTGCAGCCAGTGAGATCAGGCAGGAGCTGAGCCCCTCTCTGCAATCGGTGGCCAAATTTTAGGCCCTCCTGCACAGTCTATGATTTGATTCACAGCTCTTAAGCATCGCCCGCAAGCTGCACTCCCTAAAGTCGTATTCCACCGTGTTGAGCCCAGCCCAGCCGGGACCACACAATCACATGAAGACAAGACAGCAAAGGCACTCGGCGTGATGGAAGGTGCTTTCTCACGGTGACTTTCCTAGGGCAAAGCACAGGCAAGAGCACGGTTGCAATCATGCAAAGGGGAAAGAAAAGCAGCATGCAACACGTGCACCAGATGTTGCGCGCACGCTCGTTAACCATCATCCGTTACATGGAGGTGAGAGTGACGGCGCTATGTCTAGATGAGTTAGTTGGTTACTGAGTTTCATGCAAATGAGTTGATCTCTGATTATATGCAAATGATTCAGCATTCGGATATAAACCAAGAGAGGTTTCAGCTTACTTTGTATCAAGCTCTATGAGATTTGTATCTATGGGAGCTTCGTTCTCTGGAACTAAACACAGGGAATTATTGCACAGGGTTAATTGCTGGAAAAACAACAGAATAATTCACCTGCACACGGCTTCTCACCGCCCACGGCATCCCGAGCTATGGAAATGAGCCTACATCCCACTTTAGGCAAAACTGCTTTGGAAGTCAACAGGAGAGGTTTAGTCTCAAGTGCAACAGGCTGGGACTGAAAGGTGACTGCCTCTGGAGTGGAAAGCAGCAACCAGCACGTGCAAGACAAGGCAGCAACGAGGAGGGGACACTTTGGCCACAACGCTGCACTTAACATGTCGGGGGCTAAGTGACCTTCCCTATCCATTGGGAGATGGTTGGTTTTCCTATGGCAAACTACATGGAGGCTTTGGGAGAAGCCTGCTGCGGAGCCAGGGGATCTGGGCCGCCCCGCTGCACTGTCCACACGTGCAAAGAGGCTTTTGCACATCACTGCATGTGCCGCATGGTCTCTAACGACCACAAGACGCAGCTCAGCAGGGCCTGCACACCTCCTACGGCTACCAATCCGCACCCCGGCTGCTGCGTAGCATGGGCTCAAAAAAGGCACAAGCAGTGATGTGACACCTTTGCTGTGGAGGATACCACCTGCTTTAGGGAACCCACCCAGACCCCCCCCCCATCCATCCCTGGCCCAGAGCACAGTCAGATGCCAGGAAAGATCTCAAAGGGGCTCAACTCACCCTCTCTGTGCAAAGGCTCTTCCTTGGGTTTCGGATGCATCAGTGTGAAAGGCAGCTCCACCGCCACGTCGCTGCAACGGACACAAAGACCTGGATGAGAGGGCAAGTCTCCGGGACGTGGACCTGCAGGGGCCAGGGCTACCTGGCTCTGTGAACAAGGGCCAGAGACAGCATCTCTTTAAGTTCAACTATCTCTTCTGCACCCCTGAGGCCTAAGTTCTGCCCCTACAATGCAAGCCCTGATGGGCATGGGTGCACCTGATGGGCACGCCAGCCCTGATGGGCACGGGCATGGGATGGCCAGGGCTGCCTACAGCCCGCTGTGAGCACAGCTCGCTACCATCACCCTCGGGGCTCTGCCAGGTGGAGCGCAGGACTGGGGCAGGAGTCTACGAGTGGAAAGGTTTCTCCAACGGCAGAGGGCTCATTTTAGCTGGACTCAGTGCAAGAGACAGAGGGACCAGATCCTGCCCCCCACTCCAGCCATGTAAACCAGCATCATGCAGGTCCCGGGCTCACGGTCCCCGTCTCACACCTCTGCAGAGACTCTGCTGGTAGCAGAACAAGGTGTGGATCAGCCTGACCCAGCAGAGAAGGCAAGCCACCAGCCTGGGAGCCTGTCACCTTGTTTAGGTGCAGAAGGTGCACAGATGGAGCAGAGTCTGGACCGGGCCATCACTGCATCTCCCGATCCACTCCACTGGGGACCAGCAAGAAGTGACCAGTTGTGGCAGCAGCCTCGTTGCATGGACATTTGTCTCCTAAGGGACAGACCAAGGCCACCAGCTCCACCCGCGGGACCACCCAAGAGCTGATGATTAGCGGCAGGACTCAACCCGAACTGGCAGCATGCACCTCGCCAATGCTAGGCACTGTCTGACCCCCTTCACCAAACAGGGCGGCATCCCAGGAGGGAAGCATGTCTGCAAAAGGCTGCTACTCCGAAGCTTTTCCTTTAGGGAGCAGCACATAGCAAAAGGCAGCGATGTTCGCAGCGACGTGCAGTGATGGGTGCAGGGAGGTGCGGCGAGATGGGATTTACAGTGCCCATCACTGCAGCATCTCCACTCAGAGCCATGCTAACCCGCACAGCAAACTGAGCTGTGTGCGGACAAAGGGCATCCATCGCACATCATGGAAGCGGAGGTATTCGACACCGAAAAGCATCCTGTCGTGTCCCCCTTAACCCCAGCCTTGGAAGGAGCTCCCAGGGTGGTCAGTTCAAAAAGAGCCTGGGGGTGGGCTATTCTTCGCAAACCGCCGAGAGAAGGAAAACAACAGCTTTAGTTTTTAATGCCTAGCTCCCATTTAAAGGATGCGATGCCTCGAGATGTGGTAGATGCAGACCGCCCTGCTCACTCCGCTTCGGCGTGTCCGATGGGTGCCCCTCACAATACAGCACGAGTGACTCGGGGCCTAGGCAAGCGCGGGAAATATGCTGTGAGAGACCTACACGTCTAGGCTGCTGGGCTTGATTTTATGCCTTGATTGGTTCACCATCATCAGCAACAGGTCTTAATTCCTAGCAGCGATTACCTGGAAGCACAGAGCATGCAAGGAAGCAGGAGGCCACAAGCAAGGAGCGGGGGGTGAAAAGGATGTGAAGGGAAGTGAGCCCAAAGCACCTCGCCCAGAGCCTGGAGCCAAGATCCCCAGCCTGCCCTTGTCAATTCAATTTGCAAACTACATTGACATCAATTAGCAGCCAATTAAATAATTAGCCTGAGAAGCCTTCCTAGAGTCCAAATGGCTCAGAAGAGCAGACAAAAGCCGTGGCATGGGATGAAAAGTCATTGCAGCCCCACGGGACGGCTGCCATCCCCCGTATCGGCTTCCACACCACGGAGGCGGCACAACATCCGTGTCTCTCTCTGCCTTATCGTCTCCTCCCGCCCCCGACAAGATGGTTTTGCAGCCAGGTACGGCCCGAGACGGTTGCCACAGATTGAGAGCTTGCCTTCCACCGCCGACGTGGCAAGGACAACGCAATGGGCTTGGGCCTTTGCATTGGGTCCAAAATCCTTCCACCACTTTATTGGTGCCCAGGGGAGGTCTCTTTCGACCACCTCTTATTAAGGGTCGTGCTGCGCCATGGCTCGCCCGAGTCACGCAGTCTCATTTCTCTCCACTGGTTGTTTGAGCAAAAGGCATAAAGGGAACAGGAAGGGTTTCAGGGGCCGTGCGGTGGGGGAAATACACCCTGCCCTGTGCACAGAGTCCTGCTAATAGGTTTTCCCAAGCCTGGAAACCACTGGGTCATCTGGATAAGGCCCACGAGGGAGGGGAGCAGCTGGCATCGCCTCCAGCCACCTTCAGCTCCTTATCCCCCCGTAACTGTTTGCAGCTGGGCAGCTGTGGGCAGCTTTTTGCATGAGGCCAGAGCATCCCTCGAGCCTCCAGGGCCTCGTCCTCTCTGCCCTGCTGCATACATCACCCATGGGCAATTGTGCCAAAGGAGCTGAATCACCTGCTCCTTCCTCACTGCCACGGGAGCAGGGTCACAGAGTTGGCTGCTCCAAAAAAGACATGCAGCCTTTATTGAAAGAAAAACTCCAATAAAGGAGACAGGTCCAGGAAGACTTCAGCTTGTATTGATTGCCAGTGAGCCCACTCCTGTGACAACCATCAGCTGTCTGCTGCAATAGTCTGGAAGGGAGAGGTGGCCTCCAAGATAGCTATAGCCCACAGGGATGGGTGGGCACAGGTTGCAAACTGGTCCACAGCATGGAAGAAGTGGAGAGCCAGATCTTCCCTATCCCACCTCGTCACTCAGGGAAGTCGGCGACGGGGCCGCACGACCACTAAATAGGCAGCAATGATGCTGCCGGTAAGCGGTGACCGTGCACGCTTCTGTCTCCCAGCCAGCGGAGAGCACGGCCTTCCCGTCTCAGCGATACGGGACCAAGCAAGTGGAGAGATTATCTGCAGAGCCTGTCGCCCACGCAGCAGTCCAGGGGGAAAGCCTGGCTCTGGGGCAGGGAATGAAGGCATAAAATCAAAGAGAAACACATGGCGAGGGATGACGAGGGCAACGGAGGGAGCGGAAAGACCAGGAGGGAGAAAGCCGGCTGCAAGGCATGGCCGTGCTGGCTGAGCTGGAAGGTGTTACCTGGATGCAAGGTCTCCCAGCAGGCTGGCATTAGTCAAAGGAGACAGAGAATTAGTCACCTGTTAATCAAAGGTGCATGCAGCCCCCACCCCTGAGAGCAGGAAACAGCCCAGACCGCCAGTCCCTGCGCTACGGTGCTCGGCTCGACAAACACAGGAGGACCACGGCACAGGTGCACGTCCAGCCCACAGCTTGCCACGGTGAGGGGGTGGCATTCAGTTTGGGGCAGGGGATGTCTGTCTCCGGAACTGGGCCTGAGAGATTGAGCCACGGGGATGAGGCGAGGGACTGGTGCATGGCACTGCAGCGTGAACAGCACCGGCTGGGAAGGGGGTCAATCCTGCAAGGGCAGCGCCAGCGAGAAGACTGGCTGCATCCAAGTGACCGGGACGGGGCCCAGGAAACACAGGCAGGCAAGGAACTGGGAAACCAGAGCAGCTCCAACCAGCTGCCCGCACCCAGAAAGGGACTGCACGAGACCCAGACTGGCCAGCAAGGACCCAGCATCTGCTTGGCACCACGGGGCGAGAGCTGCCAAAGGGCACGGGGACAGGGCTGGGGTGTTTGCAGGTCAGTCTCCTCCACTGCGCGGTTCCCATGGCCTGCTGTCACTGAGCATCTGCCTTTGAGCCATCTCCCTGGCTGTATGTGCTCGGTGCACGGTGACGTCCGGGGGGCAGGGGCTCCCTTGGAGGGTCCCTGGTCCCTCCCTGCTTGGGCGTGTGAGGAGGTTGCTCCAGTTGCGCTCACAACCAGGCTTCTGGAGGAGGGGACGTGTGCTTTGTAGTCCACCCTGCCTTGCCCCCGAGCATCTCAAAGCACGTCATCTCCCTTGCCATGTGCTTGCCAGAGATGCCCCCATCTCACAGGCAGGGAAACTGAGGCCTAAAGAGTGGCTGCGACTCAGCCCAGTGACAGAGCTGGGAGAGAACGGTGTCGGGGGGGGTCCCAGTCCTATTTGTTAGGGGAACGGCTGCTCTCCCCATAGTCTGTATCAGAAGAAAGCTGCTGAATGGAAAAGGGAGAAGTCCAGGGGTCTCCAGGTAAGGTCCTGGGGACAGGCCCCCTCAAGAGGACCACTGTATTTTGGAGGCTGATTGTCGCCGTGATTTCCCTTTCCAACAACCGCATCAAGACGCCAGTGGAACCGAAGCCCAACACCCCTTTGCTGTAAAACTGGCTGGTAATTCAGCAGGGCCAGGGGCTTCTGGCCTGGGTTTTACCTCTGAATCACTCACCGCCCCTACTACTCTGTGCTTGCTCTGAGCCGCCTCATCCTTGGCCCTTTCACAAGCTTCTTTCCAGGGAGAAAAGCACTGAATCCCACCCACCCTGAGGAAGGAACGGGTACATATAGTCCTGCCCCGTCTCCCATAGCACTGATGCTCCCTAAAAGCTGCAAGTCCTGGCAGGGGGGCTCAGCTTTGCACCCCGCAGCTGCTGCAATAGGCTGCTAAAGGCCGTGCAGCACAGACAGCCCCTCTTCTTGCAGGACGTGTACTGAGAGGATCGCACATCTTGCCCCTCTCCCTTTTATTCCTGATGGGGCAGGGAACTCGCGCTGCACGCCCAGCTCCCTGGCGGCATTCGATGCAGCAAGCCAAAGGTGTTTGGTAAATCTATTGTCCTGGCCTGGCAGCAAGCTCCTTTGGGGCTTTGCCAAGCATAGCTGGAGTCAAAACACTTAGCTCCATCGATGATGAAGGTCACTTGCCCTCAGATTCCTCCCCAGCTGCGGCTTAAAGAGGGAGAGGGCTGGAGGTCATCGGTACCCAAGCAAATCCAAGCCTCAATCGCGTGAGAGTGCCAGAGAGAGCCAACAAAGTAATGGAAGGTGAGAAGGAGCCTGGGCACCTGGGTCTAGAGCTGCCTCTGCCACTGCTTCCTGGCATGACCCTGGGCAAGGCACCCGCACAAGCGGCGTGAGAGTTAATGGATGCGTGTGAAGTGCTTTGAGATCCTCAGATGAAAGGCACAAAGGGCTTATTGCAGTTGGTTGGAGTTGGCACTGCATAAAGTGGTTAGATAAACTGGCTGGGCCTTTCTAGCCCTCCTTCAGGCCAGAGGGGTGGCTGATCGGATGCGACTGCTGCCCGAGGAAAAAATGACACTCACCCTCCCCGGGATACCACCAGCTTCACTTTCACTTTATAGGAGACAATAATTCCCAGGATCTCCTTGTTGGCTCCATCTCTTAGTCTAGAAGCAAAGACAGATGTGGGGGACTGGTAAGGAAATATTCAAGTTATTCACTTTGGCTTCTGCGAAACAGTGGGGAACGTCCCCGCGGGTGTTGCCCACACACCCAGACCCCCACATGGCAGGCCAGGCCCGGTCGTAAAGCCCAAGCTTTCACCAGGCTTTTGCAGAGCATCATTATTTTGCAAGGCAGTGGCAAATCCAGGAAATTTCAGTTTGCAGGCCCCTAACTTGAATAGCCAAAATGGGTTTTTTTGGAGCCAAAACAGGCTTACACAACTCCCGGCACCCCTTCCACCAACATGGGCTGACGGAGAGAAACAGTGACCAACAACAAACACTGGCCTGCATTTCCAAACCAGGATACCCAGGGCGGGGCTCCTAAATCTGTTAGGTGCTGCTAACACAGAGATTTTAGAGCCCGGTTCAACAAAGCATGCAGGGATACGGGCAGGCCCGGTGAAGCCAGGTAGCTTATGTGCTTTGCTGGACGATGTCCTTGGTCAAGTCTTGACCGAATCAGAGAATCCAAGAGCTGAAAGGGACCGCAAAGGTCATGTAGTCCGACCCCGATTCACGGCGGAAGTCATTTCCTAGGCACCCACCCCCATTGCTGGGGGAACAAGCCCCTTGTAGCCATGCAGCCTAGGGAGGAAAGAGCTCTCACAGGGTGCTGGATGCCAGATTGGTGTCTTCATGCTTCAGCTTCCCGTCCAGGGCGAGGCCACGCTTCTCCCGGTTGTTGGCGAGGAACGGGGTCAGGGTGTAGACTTTGCAGAAGGTTGAACTCTGAGCCACCATGTCACTGGGGATGACAACAGGCGGGAATGAGACTGAGCTACTGCGAGGGCCCAAACCAGCACCCTGCATCTCACCATTGGGCTGGAGAACCCCAGGGCTCCCAGTCCCCGGGGAGAAAAAACGATGTCCGAAGCCCAGTGCAATGGTCAACAACCCCCCCGGGCCATCCCCACTGATGATCAGCACATGGCACCTGACGTGGCCCTAATGCACCTGGAGGTAGCCACGTGCTCTTGATTCAGTGACATCCAAATTTGTACCTGCGAGAACTAGTGGCGGGACTTTGAATGCACCCATTCTGTTAACGACTCTCTCCTTTTCCATGGTCTGGCCGTTGCATGAATCAAGCTATCCTTTCTTTTGCCCTTTTGCTGTCTGTTAGCCATTCCTGGGGACATGCTTCTTCTTTTTCACAGCCCTGCCGCCTGTTTTTAGTTCTAGTGAAAAACCTTCACTCAGGTGTGGCCACATTAACTCAGGTGAATAGTAGCTCAGGTGTTGAAATGAATAACAGTAAAGGGTTATAATGCTCCAATAAGCTAAGGTTTTGTATTACAGGTCTGAATAAGGGAGGTGCATGTAACGGTTATGACTACAGGCCTATTTTGACTAATTTAACGAGGTGGTTGTGTTTTTTTAAAACTTGATAATCTACCCAATTAATGCACAGTCCAGTAACATATTTTAATTTTGCTTTGATCTTAAAATGAATAATGTAGTGCTCAGCCCTTAGCATTTTAGTAAATCTCCTAGTTTCTCTTTATCTGGAGAAAAATAAGTGTGGCATTGATGCACCTCACCATTGCACCCCCTCTTTACAAAATCCTAGATCCACCCATGCCGGGCGGTATTTGTTCTGGGGAATGAAATAATCCCGGAGTAGAGGAACAGGTTCGTGACCAAACCCGACACTGCCCGGAACCATTTTCTTACAACAGGTGTTTCCACGGTGACGCACAGTCACCGTCTATTGATACGGTGTTATCGGGAGCTGATGCTGCAGTACAACCCTGAATCGCATTGCAATGCCACCAGGCAACATCGCTACGTTAATCCAAGCACTCCCATGAAAAAAAAAACTATTGTTAAGCATCCAGCATGGCTGTGTTCGCTGTTGCTGAGCTCCAGATCAAACCCAGATTACAAACGCATGGGTGTTTTTTCCAGCCTTTCACTCTGCAACTCAGGTGAATCAAGCCAGCTCCTCTGACTCCTACCCGCAGAGCACTTAAGCACGGGCCAGAAGACATGGATGTGTCACATAACCATGTCACAACCCTACTTGGATGGACCTCAGGTTTGCAGGAAGCACAAGACAATCCCAATTACTGCTAAGTTTGGGAAACCCAGGGTGTCCAGGTGCAGCACGGTGCCCGAAGAGCAGAAATGACTGTTGCAATGGAGTGGGGGAATACTCACTCTGCTTCCTCCACCGCGACCGGGCACTTGTACTGAGCCGTGTTAAACAGGCAGATATCCGCGTACTGGCGCACTGGAGACACAGGCAGAGAGGGGCAGGCAATGGTTAGGGCTCAGTGTGGATGTTGGGGCATCAAAGGCTGGGGTTCAGGGACCCCAATGGCACTGGCAGCATCAAAGGCCAGGGGACAGGGACCTCAATGGCACTGGCAGCATCAAAGGCTGGGGTACAGAGACCCCAATGGCACTGGCAGCTGGAAAGTAATGAAATCCCAGCCCAGACAGTTATCATGGAGCAACTGCTCATCTACCTCCTGATACAGCCCAACAATGACCCAGGAGCATGAGGAGAGAAAGCAGAGAGGCTGCTACACCCTTACATCAACCGCAGAGGCAACGGGATCATGTGCCCTGCCCTGCCTAGCCGGGCCATTCGTTCACCCCCGTTCCTCTGCACCAAGCTCAGGCACTGGCATTTAAGTTCAAGCTCCTTGCACAAAGGGCGCCAGTCTGGACTTGAAGATGCCAAACCCAGGAGCAACAACCGCAGCCCCGGCGGGACTGGTCTCATGGTGAATTACCCTCATGGATGAAAACTGGACCTCCAGTGGTGGTGCCTCTGGTCCAGCCACAGGACGGGGAAAGCAAGAGCAATGGTGCTCCCAGGGCCCACACTGTACCTGGTTGGGGGGTCGCGGTATTTGGGACCACTGAGACGGACTCGTGGTCAGTCATAGAGGGAGTCAGGGGCAGAGCTGGGACCAGACCCTTGGCACGTCACAGCTCTTTTGCTCTGCCAGGGCCAAGAGGCTTGCTCTTGCTTGTACAAGCAGAGCCTGGATGCTGGGACAGAGAAGGAGGAAGGCTGCAGCCAGGGATGCTCAGCTGTGCAGGGGCTGGCATCTAGGGCAAGGGCAAGGGCCAGGGTGCCGGGTGGGGGATGTGGTTTGGGAAGGGTCAGGGGAGGGGGCTGCCCTCGGTACCTGAGATCTTAATCTTCTTCACGGTCTTGTTGGTGTTGTTCGTCACGTGGACGTTGACATTGATGGGCTCCCCGTGGTAGTAAATCTGCAGGGAGCAAGGACCCCAGACACGGTCAGGAGCAAGAGGCCAGACGTGGTTCCTCGCCGAGAACAGAAGCTGCCCCCTCGTATCAGCGTTTAACATGATGCTTCCCAACCTTGTCCTCAGCAGGACCCCATTTCTGACCCCATTGCTTCAGCATGGCCCCTTGCTCCCGACCCGCAACCCCAACATCCCTATCGCTGCCCCTCTTTAAACTTTAACAACAACCACCACCATCCTCCCCATCCACCCTGCCACATGCATTTAGTGCTCAGTGCCTACTCCAGCCCCTCGGCACAGGGCTGTGCTCGGTCCCAGGAGCAGGGGCGTCTAGGGACCTTTGCTCCCTGCGCGGGCTGGAGCTTGTTATGAGTCTCTGCACCGTGCCGTTCTCCAGGCATCACCCGCATGGGACTGGATGGGTTTAGAAGGGCTCGGGGGGGCCATTAGTTGCTTGGCGTGTGGGCCCTGCACTGTTGAGGGAAGCACCAACCCCCGGGAAATGCAGCGTGCACCGTACCTCTTTGTCCAGGGATGCCTCCAGATGCAGCGGCTTGTCGGACATGAGGAACTGCCTGGTGGTCTCCGCCATGGGCTGGGGGCCCGGCCTCTCTGGCGCGTACTGGACCTTGCGGATCACCAGGCGCACAGAGTTCCTGCAGAGGGGGTTTGGAGAAGTTGGCCGGCCACTGCTCCACGAGAGCATGGTCCTGAGCATAGGCAATGGCCACGTCCAGCTTGCAGTGCCGGGGAGGCGCGGTGCTTTCTCCCTCTCTCACCCCCCCAGCTGCCCCGCTCCCTTCCCCTGCAACAGCCGCGAACGCGTCGGCTGCTTTACCTCTTGTGGATCTTCTCCTCCAGGTTCTCCGCACAAAACGCTTTGACCTCGTAGTCAACGCCGCAGGCCTGGAAAACGGGGGAAAGGAGGCTGGAGAAACCCTCCCATTGCTGCCAGCTCCCTAGACTGCCCCAGGGCAGGGGGCTTGAGCAGCTCTGAGGTCTCTGTGTGCAGCGAGGGGGTCGCTGGGATTTGTGTGCGCGTGTAAAAGGGAACAGGGTCCTGTCCTAGCCCGGGCTGGCTGTATGCAGGACTAATGCCCTTCCTTGAGGGCCCAAGGCCTTACACAGCTCAGTTCTCCTTTCATTCACATGGCAAAGGGCTTCTTCCCACAAAGCTGCAGCGTGCAAGGCGGTTGTGCGCTCCTTGACACAACTCTGTCCAGCAGAGCCCTGGACTTGTGGCAACCGCTACGACTAAGGCAGCAAAGCAATCAGACTAAGACATGCCCGTTTCCACATTTCCGCAAAGTTAACCCCTCGCCTGAGATTTTCAGCGCCTGGTCTGGATCCAAAAGGCGCATAATTTCTGGAAGAGCAAAGCCTTCGCTGCTGGGTTGGGACGGCGAACGAGGGACGAAAACAAGACTTTTTCCGTTGCGGAAAAACTCCTGCTGGCTGTTTGCACACGCGGCGGAGGGTGAACGACAGGCAGCGCTCGCCCGGTTGGGTGACAACAGGCAAACGCCATGAGGGGCGAGTCTGATGGACTTTATTTTGTTGGGATCATTCAAGTTCATGCAGAGACGACCCAGCTTTTGGTCTGACAGGGCTATTCTTGGGAATACGTCTGCATGGAAATAGCCTGCTCTTGCTCTGCACGTATCGGAGCCGGGGCTGCCGGCTGGGGCGGGTCTAATCCATCTGTGCCCTGCAGAGCCAGCCAGCTCTCCGGGGGAGAGGGAGCTGAGGTCTCCCCCTCACCGCGGCTGCTTACTGCTTTGTGTCTGGATGCCAAACAGCTACACCTGGGGAAGCTCCTGAGGGCGATGGGGTCCCGGAGGCATCACTGGGGTTGCATCCCCTGCTGCTCTGCTGAGGCTGCCCCAGACGGGAAGAACCCAGCCCGGGGCCTGCAGGAGTTGCAGAGGTGTTTGTACGGGTGAAGCTATTCCCATGTCACTCCCCAGCATCGCTAGAGCCGGGAGAGAGCTCCCATTATGCACAGATCCACAGAGAAACCCTGCCTCTGTTTGCAGTGGAAGCAAATGCAGCCTACAAATTACCCAAGCGCAGAGCCTCCACCTGGCCACCCCGTCAGAGTAAAAGGTCTCCTCCGCAAGATCGCACCTCTCATAGCAAGTGAAGGGCGTGGGGTAAAACTGCTCAGTGGGAAAACACATGTCCCCTCTCTCTAGGCAGCTGTCCCCATGTACCCCACCTCCTCCGGAGGCAACCTAGTTTCATCTGAGCCGTCTGGTCTTTGTGCCTCCACACCGCACAGGCTGAGCTGCGAGTTACTAGCCAGTATCAACCGAGTGCAAATGCACACTTACCTTCCCCGTGTCCTCCGGCCCGGGCTGCAGGGTGACAGAACAAGGCAGGTTGGGAGGGATCTGAAACAGAAATGGGGTGTAAATAATCCAGCCCCCTGCTGCTCTGCTCCATGCACACGCGAACGTGCGCACCGGCTAAGCTGCGGGGTGGAGGGAGGGGAGGCATTTTTGGGGGAAGGAAGAGCTGTGTTGGTCCTGCAGTTCCTGGGGGGCCTCAATGTCCCAAACCTGCATCCAGCATCCAGCCCTAGTGAACGGGGGAGCCCCAGGGAGGCACTTGGCCCTGGCACTGGGAGGTCTGCACCTGCAAAGGGCTGGCAGCCTCTTGCCAGCTGCAATGTGCTCCCATCGCCCATGGGAGACGGGGCTCTGCACCTGGCAGGAGATCTTTGATGGTCCAAACTATTCAGCAGTTTGGACCATCAAAGCCCAAAGCACAAGGCCACCCAGGGATGCCGCAGCAGGCGCACCCTCAAGTGGGCATCGGGCTCCTTAGAAAGCCCCACATAGCTTTGGCAGCACCCGCTGTCCTGCGTTAGACTGCAGAGAGCCAGGTGCACATTTTCACAAGCTCTTCGGGAACTTAGACGCATGATCCCGTTGTCTTTTAATGCACTTTAATCTCTCAAATCTTGCAGGCCCTTTTGAAAATGTCCCCTGTGATGCCCAGCACCACAGGACCTTATTCTGCTCCCGGCTTCCAGGCACTTCCACAACACAAAGAGCCATTACAAGGGTTGGTCACAGTCTAGCCAGTTTGACCGCTGGGTTTTTATGATGAGATCAGCAATGCTGTATTTAAAGGAGGGTTAGGAATGGTTTTCCCTCCAATAAAATAAAAGCTAAGGACTTTAATGATCCAATTCATTTTCTTTCTTAATTGAATCCCTTTTTAATTTAAGCAGAATCTAGATTCAGGGCTTTTCCTGTGCAGAGGCAGTGCCTTTAAACCATCAGTCTCCAAGAGTCTACAAATGCATAAATCTCTCCTCAATCTGCGGGGTGGGGAGGAATTTGGTTTGTTTTGCAAGGGTTTGGGAGTGTTTATGATCCCAGGGGGATTAAGCTGCAGCCGCGTGCAAGGGGAATGGTGCGTGCTTTTCCATTCTTCCCAGTAAACCAGTACCTCTGCAACCCACACGTCCAGATGTGGGGCTAACGCTGCCCTAAAGAAAGGATGCCACACACGGTCTGTGAGGCTAGGGACAGACATTACACATAAGCTGGTTTAAGGGATTGGACACTGGTTTAAACCTGAGAGAGTTGCTCTGGAGGGGTAGAAACCAGGCTGAATTCAGCCGTGCTGGATCCAGCTGTCATTTGACCTTGCCCGGTGGGTAGAGGCTGTGAGCTATGCCCTGCTGCGTACACAGCAGCTATTACAATGTGCGGCCTTTAATGTCACCGCACGGCTCTCAGCTCAGAGACGCGACGCTGCTGGGTGTATCACCGCTGCTCCGGCTACACCTCTCCTCCTCCCCTGCACTCAGCATCTGCAGGGTGCTCAGACCGGTGCGTGCTTTGCAAGCACGCCGGACTGCCTGCCTACGGAAACCTCAGCCCAGCTGTGCGATCTGCGAGCTCTGGAATAGCTTCCCCACACGAGGGCAGCTCTACTTCAGAACAAGGACGCACAAAACCCAGCAGCACACGCTGCCGGAAACATTGTCGGGCCGGATTAAACAAGTAAGGGTGGGGATAGATCATGTCAGCAAGCTCTTTTTAGGTTTTGCACAGTCCTAACTTCCATTTTAAGACGCGCTCCTATTCTAAGGAGGCCAAGGAAGCTTTTCCCATGCGCTCCCAGTCTGCAGCGAGCTGAAAAAGCAGCTGTAATCTGCGTGGACTGCAGGGGCCTGATGCTTAATGAGCACGATTAGCACTGCCCTGAAAGCAGAAATGTCCCCTAAGATGGTGGGAGGGCTTTATTCAAGCACTTTTTTTTTTTTGCCTCGAGGCTGATGTCTGGGACTCACTCTAATAGAAAGCTGCTCAATTTAACCTTCAATAGCCCAATAATCCAGGCTGGACAAGGGGAAGGAGGAAATGCCGTACAGAAGCCCAGAAGTGGGGGAAGTTCGTGACTGTTCTTGTAGAGACGTGCGCCTGACTTTATTTTTCGTTCCAGATTTACGAGTGAAATCATGGAGATGACACGTGGAGGAAGCATGAAGCCATAACGTGTCTATAGCGGACACGAGGCACCTTACATGTGGTTACCGTGAATAAGTTTTGGCGAAACGCTGATTTTATCAGTATTGCTTCCAAGGAGACCCGAGTCAGAAAAGGCCCTTCGAGTATGGGTCTGATCTCGTGCAAAGGAGGTGGGGCCAGAAAAAACCCAAAACTATTGTTCTTTGGATTACAGCAGGGTCCCGTGGTGTACACGCAAGGAGAGACACAGACTGGGCACAGAAAGAGAGGAAAGAAAGTTGATGGCTAAGTAACTTGCCCATGGTCAAAAAAAGGAGGAAGGAGGACCCAGGACATTATAGGCCTGTTAGTCTTACCTCGGTCCTGGGGAAGCTCTTTGAGAAAATTATCCAGGAGCACATCCGCGAGGGGCCGGCAGGGGAGGTTAGGCTTAGGGACAACCAACACGGGTTCATTCGAGGCAGGTCCTGTCAGACCAACCTGGTGGCCTTCTACGACCAGGTCACAAAATCCTTGGACGCAGGGGTAGCAGTGGACGTAGTCTTTCTGGACTTCAGGAAGGCCTTCGACACTGTCTCTCACCCCATTCTCATTAAAAAATTAGGAGACTGTGGTGTCAATGCCTACACAGTCAGATGGGTCACTAGTTGGCTGGAGGGCCGCACCCAGACAGTGGTGGTGGACGGGTCATTTTCGACCTGGAGGGGTGCAGGCAGTGGGGTCCCCCAGGGCTCGGTCCTTGGGCATGCACTGTTCAACATCTTCATCAGCAACTTGGGCGAGGGAGTAAAAAGCACCCTGTTCAAATTCGCAGATGACACTAAGATGTGGGAGGAAGTGGGCACACTAGAAGGGAGGAATAGGCTGCAATCGGACCTAGACAGGTTACAGGGGTGGGCGGATGAGAACAGGATGGGTTTCAACACTGACAAGTGCAAGGTGATGCACCTGGGGGGGAAGAACCAGCAGCAGACCTACAGGCTGGGGAACTCCCTTCTCATCAGCGCAGAGGCAGAAAAGGATCTTGGAGTCGGTATTGACTCCAAGATGAACATGGACCACCAATGTGGGGCCAACTGTACCTTGTCGTGCATCCAAAGATGCATCTCGAGCAGGTCCAGGGAGGTGATCCTCCCCCTCTACGCGACACTGGTCAGGCCGCAGTTGGAGTACTGTGTCCAGTTCTGGGTGCCGCACTTCAGGAGGGATGTGGCCAGCATGCAGAGGTCCCAGAGGAGGGCCACCCGCATGATCCGGGGACAGCAGGACAGGCCCTACGAGGAGAGGCAATGGGACCTGAACCTGTTCAGCCTCCACAAGAGAAGGCTGAGAGGGGATCTGATGGCCTTCTATAAACTGGCCAAGGGAGACCAGCAGGCAATGGGAGAGTCCCTGTTCCCCCGAGCACTACCAGGGGTAACAAGGAACAATGGCCATAAGTTGACAGAGAGTAGATTCAGACTAGACATCAGGAGGCGCTACTTCACTGTCAGGGCGGCTAGGATCTGGAACCAACTTCCAAGGGAAGTGGTGCTGGCTCCTACCCTGGGGATCTTCAAAAGGAGGCTAGATAGACACCTTGCTGGGGTCGTTTGACCCCAGCATCCTTACCTGCCCATGGCGGGGGGGCGGGCTTGATGATCTGCTCAGGTCCCTTCCAACCCTACCAACTATGAAACTATGAAACCCAGGTGGGCAGCGGCAGAGCTAGCAATATCACCTGCCTCTCCTGCTTCCTGGAGAGCTGCGATCTCCTCTCAGCCGGACCCTTCTGCCTCCGCAAGATGGCAGGACTCGGCAGCTGCTAGCTTGACACCCCTCCATTATAAATGGGAGTAATTATGCATTTCTTTTCACGGTCGAGAGAATTTGCTTTGCCGTTGTTACTATTTAATTAACATGGGAGGCCTTTCCTGCTGTACCGTTGGGACAGACTTTGCCTCCTACCTAGCCAACTGCTTTTGACTGTTCCTCTTTGGAATCCAGACAATGGTGGAATTAATGGAGCCAATTACCGGTGCAATTAAAACTGGGTGCAGAGGGACTGTTTCACGTCTTCCTGGTAACAATAACCGACACGGCGAGAGCACCTCTCCGCCAAGTGCGCTGCAAAATTGGATTAAAAACTCTATAATCAAGGCATCACTTTGCCCCGCTTTTGGATGGCTCATAGCAACGCTGTGCAGCTTGACATAGGAAGTGAACCTGAACGCTGCACGGAGCTGCAACGGTAGGGAGGAATATAGGATCCAAAGTACAACGGCAGAGAAGCTGCTTCACCAAGAGCAAAATGTGGCAGAAGTCAGCCCCTTCTTTTGCAAATGAATTATACATGAACTGCCTTTGCAATGAGACTCTGCCATGCCATCCAAATGCAGGTATCATATTTAGGCGTGATTAGTTAAAGTGCATTAACGCACGTGTAGATGCAACCTGGCATTAACTTTAGTGCCGGGTCTACCCAGTCACTAGGGCAGGGGCGGGCAATTATTTTGGGCGGAGGGCCGCTTACCGAGTTTTGGCAAGCCATCGAGGGTCGCATGATAGGCAGCCAGGGGCAGATAAATATTAATTTTCTAAGTTTTTTAGGGGCCCCCGTGGGCCGGATAGAATGGCCTGACGGGCCGCATCCAGCCCCCGGGCCACATTTTGCCCACCCCTGCATTGGAGGTACATGACAGGGCTGCAAGGCCTTGGCATTAACTTTAGTGCCAAGTCCCTGCACGTGTAGATATCTGCCAAAAATCACTTAATTCACATTAAATTCAGTTGTGCTTAAATACACATGTAGACACACCCATTGATGCTGATCTTTTTTATGTAGAGCCTTGAGACTGACTGATGGACAACACTGTTGTAGAAGAGCCTGGTATTATCATTAACATTTTCCTTCCACCAGCTGACATTTTGGGGATATAATGCAATGACCATAACTTGGACCAAGGTATCAGGGAGTTGAGCATGTTCCCATCTTTCTCAGCAGCTTAGAGGTGCCCATCAAATCGATGGTGCATCCACCAAATGGTACCGTTCTGGTCTCTCCATCTCAACAAGGACGTGGTGGGATTAGAGAAGGTACAGGGAAGGGCAACCGAGATGATCAGGGGCCTGGAGCAGATGCACCACAAGAGACTAGAAAGGCTGGGACTCTTCAGTTTGAAAAGGAGAAGGCTGAGGAAGGATATGGTAGATCTAGAGAAACACGAAGGGTTTGGGCCAAGTGAATAGGGAGCTGTTATTCACCACATCCCGGGATACTAGAACTAGGGAGCACCTACTGAAAGTAGCAGGAGACAGCTTTACAACTAACACGAGAAAGTGCTTTTTTTCGTAGTGCATAGTTCACTCGTGGCACTCATTGCCACGGGAGGTTGGAGAGGCAGATAGCATAGCCAGGTTCAAAAAGGGGACCAGACAAAGTCATGGGCAACCGATCCACTAAAACTATTAAACAGCCCAGTCAGGGCTGTATCCTCTAACCCAATCGGCAGTGCTATGTGGGCTAGCACTATGGAAGAAAGAGACTTGGGGGTCATCATTGACCACAAGATGAACATGAGCCTGCAATGCGATGCTGCGGCTAGTAAAGCGACCAAAACGCTGGCTTGCATCCATAGATGCTTCTCAAGCAAATCCCGGGACGTCATTCTCCCCCTGTACTCGGCCTTAGTGAGGCCGCAGCTGGAGTACTGTGTCCAGTTTTGGGCTCCACAATTCAAAAAGGATGTGGAGAAGCTTGAGAGAGTCCAGAGAAGAGCCACGCGCATGATCAGAGGTCAGGGAAGCAGACCCTACGATGACAGGCTGAGAGCCCTGGGGCTCTTTAGCCTGAAAAAGCGCAGGCTTAGGGGTGATCTGATGGCCACCTACAAGTTTATCAGGGGTGACCACCAGCATCTGGGGGAACGTTTGTTCACCAGAGCGCCCCAAGGGATGACGAGGTCGAATGGTCACAAACTACTTCAAGATCGTTTCAGGCTGGACATAAGGAAGAATTTCTTTACTGTCCGAGCCCCCAAGGTCTGGAACAGCCTGCCACTGGAGGTGGTTCAAGCGCCTTCATTGAACACCTTCAAGATGAAACTGGATGCTTATCTTGCTGGGATCCTATGACCCCAGCTGACTTCCTGCCCTTTGGGCGGGGGGCTGGACTCGATGATCTTCCGAGGTCCCTTCCAGCCCTGATGTCTATGAAATCTATGAAAATCATAGTGGATGGCAAAGAGGATATGCCAATGGTATATATACCCTGTCCATAGCTCTTCCTATAAGCGTATACTACTACCACGGTTGGGGATGGGCCACCGGGCAAGATGAACCATTGGTCTAACCCAGGGGCGGGCAATTATTTCGGGCGGAGAGCCACTTACTGAGTTTTGGCAAGCCAACGAGGTACTGCATGACAGGCAGCCAGGAGCAGATATTAATTTTCTAAATTTTTTAGGAGCCCCGCAGGCTGGATAGGATAGCCTGGCAGGCCTCATCTGGCCCCAAGGCCGCATTTTGCCCACCCCTGGTCTAACCAGTTTGGCAGCACTGGTTTTTCAAGGATCCCTGGTCGCGCAACAGAGTCAATACCCAATTTACACAGTGCTGCTGTAACACTCCCATCTGGGGAGTGCACTGGTATTACACCTATAATAATAATATTCACAACTGGATTTTCTTGAATCCCTCCCATAGCTGATGGCAGCTGCCAGTCTTTTCCTGAATTCCCCATGCAACATCCTCACTGCACAGAAGAGAAAATATTCACGATGCACAGCCCTCCCTCCTGCTTTTCTATACCTGCCGTATTTGGCCTGCTAGCTTTGTGAGCACCGATGACCCCAAAACGCCGTCGTGCTCTACCCCTCTGTCTGGCTTGCGACGGTGAGAATGCTCCTCTCCCCTCCCCTCCCCGGTGAAGCTGTGCTTCATCCTGATCTCCGTCCAGCCCGGTGCACAGCGCTCATCAGATGACTCACAGCCTGCTCTCTGGACTTGCCTCTCTCCTACCTTCGATCTTTGCTTGAACGCACATCATGTGAACACCCTGTTCCCGTACAGCTGTAATTAGACTCTCTCTTTCTCTGCTCAATTCTTCTCTGACAAGCCACTTATAATTTGCCACCTTTCTTCCCCACCCCCCACCACGTGCTCCTCTCATAAACCCCCCTCTTTTTTTCCATTCACTTCTGCCCACCTCTCTCTGGCTGCTGCCTGTCTAATGACTGACTTGCAGGGGGAATATATTCCACATTTAGCTCTGGGACGCGATCCAAGATCCAGTCAGTCCATTGTCTGCCTCTCGCATCGTTTGCTGTCATTACGCGCTCCTGTTCCACCACCTCCTTGACGGCTCTCGGCCCCTTTCCTCCATCTCTCCTGCCAAAGCCAGTCCACACTTGAGTCATGCACAGAGCTAACCTTCTCCTAACCGGCTGTCCACTTCCCTTGAGTCTGTCTTTGTCCAGGGCAGGGGAATCCCACCTAACCGCTGCCCTTTTTCCTCCACATTTTTAGCCTATCCACCTCCGCACGTTGCAGGCGTTCTGCATCCAAAGCAATTCATGCGCATATGTGTAGGACGGACATAGGCAGGACCTGCCATCTGTCACCTTCATTAGCAAAGGAGTTTAATAAGCCTGCGAACGTCTCACGGCGCTTTGCGGACAGACCCAGAGCCCAAGGCCAATGGTGACTTCAGCAGGTCCTTGGACCATAAGGCCTTCAGGGCAGGGTCCAGATGGGGACAAACACGTGGGCACGACACATCAGTGAGCACCAGGCAGCCCGTCCCCAAATGGTCTGATAAATAAAGAGCTCTCCTCTCAGCGGGAGCATGAGAAGCACCCCCAGCCCCTTTTATCTCCAGAAGTGCCTTTAAATCCAGAGGCCTGGGGGTGCAAACCTGCCTGCTGCTCATCCCTTCCAGACTCTGGCACTTTGCTCTGGGAGGGGGCACGATGGTGGTGCTTTTACCTCCATGCTGCAGGAGCCTTCCTACACCACAGCCTCTGCTGTAGGCAGCGCCAGCAATGCAGCAGCAGGGTGGAGATGCAGCCGGAGAAGGCAGAGCTCCAAGTACGGAGCTGCCGGCGCTCCCAGCGGTGCCCGCATTTCTATGGGCACATCTCGGCCAAGTCCTGGTGTTAGCTGGGTGGCCGAGACCGGGTGCAAGGGGGAAAGGGGATGCAGGGGAGAGGAGAACTCCTACCTCGAAGGTGAAGGGGTAGGCATGCTCGCCCAGCTTCTTAATCAGCCTCTCCTGCAGGCGCGTCAGGGGCTTCTTCTCCTCCGGGATCGGGGGGAAGGCCTGGATGTTGGCCACGAAAAGGTCCTTGCGGAAGGTCAGTCCCAGCACGTCCAGGTCCTCCCGGCCATAGCGGAAGGCACAGGTCAGCGTCACAAAGACTGCAGGGGAGAGAAGGCAGGACAGGGGGACCCTCAGTCCTGGTATCCGGGTGCTGTATGCAGACGAGCCGCAGACACCGAGGAAGTCCCCGCAGAGAGACAAAGGTGGGTGAAAGGAAGGGTCATTAACCCCATGCACAGTGAAGTGACGGATTAAACGACAACCCAGAATCGCAGCTGGGATTTGACCCCCTGGGCTCGATGCCCCTATTCCCATGCCGTTGGTCTGGCCGCAACCACCGCTCATGCAGCACTTCCCAAATGAGGCACCGTGGCCCCAAATGGACTAATGGCAGCTTGCAAGTGGGCTTAAAGCTTGTCCCAGGGGTGGGGTGGGGGCAACTCCTGGTCTAAAGCGCCTAAATAATAATCAGTGTTGCCATGCTGCCCCCCACTCTCAGCAGAGGCAGCTGGTGATGGGAGCTGGAGGGGCGATCAACTCTCCTTTGCCGTCATATAAATGTGACCGCGTTTCTGGCAGGAGCTCAGGGTCCTTGCTGGGGTGGGGAGGGGGTGGTAAAGCCTGTGGGTGTGCAAATCCTCCACAGCACACACTTGTATCCATGATCTCCATCCCTGAGTGTGTGTATGAGCAAGGGCTGTGCCTGGCAGGGCTTGGCCTTGCTGATCTCTGGAGAGCCCCAGCAGCCCTGCTTGTCCATGAGCCCAGAGCAGTAATGCAGTTGATCTTCCTTTGCCTGGGTTGCTAGTTTGGAAAACCCCAGTTAAACACTTTCGAGGCAGCTGGGATAAAATTGACAGACATTACCTTTCCTTTCCTTCAGGTACTCTGGGTCCACCAGCACGACGCCATCTGAAAGAGAGGGCAGACTGCATTAGTAACACAACCAGCCTCCCTGCCCATGGGGCTCGTGAGCCCAGCTCCCTCTGCTCCCAGCAGTCCAGCACCACCCTGATGGGACAAGTGAGCCCCACGCACTGCCCTTCCCCGGGGAAAGTCAGCGTTATCCTTACTGTGCAGCTGGGAAAACTGAAGGATGTGGAGTGGGTAAGTGATGCACCCATGTCAGAGCTGCTGTTAGGGTCAAGGAGCCCTCGAGACCCAGCTTGGTACACACTGGTACCCTCTTGGTGCCCAGCTTGGTACCCACTGGTCCTGAGCCCCTCGACACCACATTGCTTCCCTCTGCAGCAGCACCTGCTGCCTCAGTAGTCACCATCACACCTGAATCCTATCTGCTGCCATGCTGACCTGAAGCCCGTCATTGCCAGCCCGAGTCAGCCCTCCAGGCGCCAACCTAGCATCTCCGGGGCATGGACCAAGTGCCACATGCCGTTGTTGGTGGTTGCTATGCTCTGAGTCAGACTGGGACCTGCTTCTCCAGCCTTGCAGGATTTCTCCCATTCTGCCCGGCCATCCCTGGGACAAGGCTCAGACAGCCCAGCCTTGGGCCAGGCAGCCCGGGGTGAAGGCTGCATCCCCAAAAACACCCGACTCCAATGAGCTCTGCTGTGCTTGTCCTCTCTGGGCTGCTGCAAGACTCCTGCTAGCTATTACTGAGGATCAAGCAGACAAACAAGGTCAAGCCCCGGGTTCCCGGGCAAGCTGGGGCTCTCCTGCATCCAGTGAGAGCCTGCCTGGGCATCCCCGAGCCCCAGGGCCTGCAGGGCCGTGGACATGAGACTGCAGCTGCTGCCAAGGGACTCGTCCCCAGGTGGGAGGTGGCAGCAGCTGTGGATCAAGCCGGGAGGGGGCTGTGTAGCATGCGCCGAACAGCGGGTGACATAAGGACGAAGGAGGACGTGACTCAGGGCCTGATGTATCGGCCCTGTGAATGGAGAGAAAAGGGTCCTCTTTGCAAATGCAAATCAGGGCGCTGAGTGACAACCCACGCTGTCTTTGGGTAAATGTGATATCTTTTATTAGACTAACTAAAGAGTTGAAAAAATTGTTCTTTGCAAGTTTTTGGGTGCAAACGCCCTTCTTCGGCTACAACTGACAGCCCCCCGAACCTATGTTTTGTTGCTGCTCTGTCTGCTGGGATCATGGCATTGCAGCTTTGCTTTCCCAGCTCGTTTGTGAATGCACAGGGAGAGGAATTACCCTCACGTGCACGTGGTGCTGAGACCCATGTTTGCCGGTTAATAGTGCAGTGCCCAGAGAGGAAAGCCTAGCCTGTCCCCATGCCTATGACACGCCTGGCTGTGTCCTGCCTATCCCACAGCAAACCGGCCAGCCCTGGTCACGGCATGACGGCTCTCCTGTCCATGGAAGAGAAGAGCAGGCCTATCGCTCTCTGGAGCGATGGAAAGCATTCGCCACTCCAGACCCATCTGAGTCTCATGGCCTTTCTCCTGGCCTGCCCCAAAGAAGGTATATGCTCCAGCTTCCTTCTGCGAGCTGTACCCAGGCCTCTGAGGACTGCCGGACCGGGTGGCACATACGGCTTCGAGCTGTACAGCGTCCACCGCACGCCAGGCTGGGCAGAAGGCTTCAACTTCCTGCACCTGGTTGCCTCTGCGCTTTTCCCCACGGCGCTGGCATGCTGGACAAACTCCTCAGTCCCATGCTAGACTGGAGCAGCAAGTCCCTCGAGGCTAATGCACTGCACGGAAACATCGCCTCGCCTCCCAGGCAGACCTGCCGCCCCTTCCTGACTTCGTATGAGTTTCTGTGGTGGGCGAAGGCGTGAATGCAGGATGGCATGGCAGGGGCAGGGAGGTGCCGGGAAGGCAGAGAGGAGCCAGCGGGGCTGACGAGGTGGCTCAGATTCACGGAGAATGAAGGTGCCCGCATCTGGCTCTGGCGATGTTTTGCCCGCAGAACGAGGCACGCTCAGCTCCGGGTGCTTCCATCTCAGTGGTAAAACTAGACCCTCGAATCCACGGCCGTGCTCCTTGAGACCCGCCGCTCCTTGGGCCATGCACACCGATGGGCAGAAGCAAAGAGGTCGGTCTGCAGAGACGTCTGGCTCCAATCCACAACCAACGCAGTGTAGTCGGGGCCCTTCCTACACGCTGACATTAATGGCGTCTTAGCCATTTGGGTTGCGGGGAGGGGCAGCGGATGAAAACCAAGCGAACGACTCTGCATCCGATGCGGCTGAGCCAGGGTGAACGGCTCTCCCCAGAACAAAGAAACTGGATGGGGGGGTGAGTCAGGTCTGCAGATTCCCAGGGTGGAGAAATTGGAAGTCTGAAAAAGGGTTTTCTTGGGTTTTTTTTTTTTCTTCCCTAGCTAATGGGTAATCAAAGCAGGACTGTAATTAGATACGAGGAGAAGAGCATTACATATGGGGTGGGAGATAATGGAGAAGCAATATTCTCTGCCGCCCTGGGTAATTAAACCGGAAAGCTAGCGGCCTCGGAGATGCATAATGAAAAAAGGTAACAACAACCTGAAATGCTCTGATTCTTGCTGCCAGGGGCCGGCGGGAGTTTCTGAAGACCCCGTTTTGCCGCTGCAATGCCCAAGAGCCAAGCCTTTTTCACACACGTTGCAAAGTCCCTATGACGATGCCCCAAGCAATAGGGCTAAGCAAATCCCGCTAAGACGCTTGTGTTCCTTACCGTCTCCGATTTCTGCCGGGACCTGGCACAGGGGACCTGGGCTCCAGTCATTAGCTACTGGAGAGGGGACAAGGGGAGGGGAGGTTTCACATCTCATGGTCTCTGGCTTTCCTTTCAGACACATTTGTGGCTTCTGCAGACTGCGGCCACTAGCTCGGCCTGCCTAATGGATCGGCAGCCTCCTTGCTGCACCCTGTCTTTCACCTCTCCAAACTCAACCTTAAAAGGGTGTGGCGGGCAGCGGGCATCCAGGGGATAAAGCCCTTTTCAGACCAGCCTGCACCATATAGGCCAGAGGCACATCTCCCTCAGTCTGATGCAGCTTCATTCGACCGGGTCCTGCCCCCCCCGGCATCTGAAGCATAATCCTGAATCAAGCCATTGCTTTCCATGGCATTGCTCCAGATTTCCAGCAGTGCCAACGGTGCCTCTTACCCCACTGTAAAGCAGGGGCTCGGTGGGTCGAGGGCCCAGGTGACTCTGTCTCTCTATTTAAAGTGCAGAGGAGGTAGGTGCCTCCCCAGGTTTTGTGGGCTCCACGCCCAGGACCAAGCTCCTAAATTTTAGGCGTGTGAATGCTCAGCGTTGCCGCTGTAACTGCCTCTCGGATCTGGCCCTTCGGCCCTCCTGAAAACTTTACACAAGGGATTGCACAAGGGCTGGCGGGGTCACAGGAGATCTGGGGCCGGTTCCTGGCTCTGCCACAAGCTTCCCGTGCAACCTTGGGCAAGTCTTCTTGCCCCTTGCATCTATGGTGGGCAGGACAACACAACCGGTGCCTCTCCAGATGTTCGGCTCTTCGGGACACGGCCTGCTCCCAGTGGTGTGAAGAGCAACCGATGCTACGGGCCTCTGATCTCAGCAGGGGTTTCCAGGTGCTCCTTTCATATAGATAAGAAGTAATAGAAGGAAATCCCTGGGAAAGGATCTCCCCGTGTGCCCTGCAAACAGGTCTGGACTCTTTCAATCCCTCTCCATCAGTCACGTCTCACCCTGCCAGGAGCTCAATACATCTCATTCCTGGGACCACAGGCTGCAGCCTGGGCCTGCACATCCCAAAGTCTTCTCACAGACAGGAAAAATAGTTCCCTGCGCCCCCTTCACACCTAGAGCCCCGGTTTTCCTGGGCCCCCCACCCCAGCCTCAGCACGCACAGAAACCAGGTCGCTCCAAGCCAGGCTGGGTTCGATGGAGGCAGGCTCCCATGCCTGTCGGGATGCCAACTTCCAATTGATCGTGCACTTTAGCAACCGCCCGATATCCTGATCCTTCACATGCTGCCATCGACGGGAGGTTTGCCAGGGAGAGCAGGGTTGGATGCCTGCCCCTACCACAGCAGCTGCCCAGGCACAGCTGGCACGGTGCAAACCCCGGCTGCACTGGTGTAAGAGATGGCTGGACGGCCCGCAGCACGCATCCCACTGGTTTGCCTCTATAAGCAGACATCGTACCTACAGCCACTGCTTGGTGTAAGAGATGGCTGGGCGGTCCGCAGCACGCATCCCGCTGGTTTGCCTCTATAACCAGACCTCGTACCTACAGCCACTGCTCTCCCTCCTCCTACCTTCTTCCTCAACACCCGCTTTGCTGGATAAGCAGCGGGCCAGGCAGCCAGCCAGCTGGAACAGCTCCTCTCTCTTGCATTCATCAGCATTTTGTCATTTATTGCAGCACAAACATTGGGGCATGGTAATTCATTGACCAGACGCCTCGTCTAGCTGCCCTGTGCAAATGCACACTCTTACTGGCACGACTCTCACCCTCCCTTCCGAGATTCGTCGGGTCTGGTCTGAAACGAGGCAGTGGCATGAACTGTCCTCTATGATGTATTGAAACAGCACCCTGCACGCTTGGGCTTGGATCCCGGCTGCAGCCCCTGGGTGCTGCAGGCTTCTTCGTCGTCACCATCCTCTCTGCAAAGTCCAGACCCATCCAACCGCTAGCTGATGTTCCCTTCGAGTGGGTAGGATGGGCATGAGAGCGCACTCCAGCCACGACCGGGGAAACTTGCTGATGTGGAAAATCTCTAACCCTCCTGTCTAATTACAGCTACGGCAAGGCTGTTGCATAAGCCCCCCCGTTCGGTACGCGCTGTCCTTGGAGACAGCACAAAGCCAAAGCACCTCTGCACCCGCATCCCGGGCTGGGCTGCTCTTTGCATTGGGAATCCCACCAGGTGAACCAAGCCAAGCAGCCACTTACCAACAGGATCCACCATGTCTATGTGGTCCACGAAGTCCCTCTTCCCAAGGTAGACTGTGAGCTGCAGGGAGAGGGGACACAAAGGGAATCAGGGACGGAGCAGACAAGCAGCCGGTGCCCGTGCTCCACAAGGCCCAATCCCATATAAACCCCCCTGGTCGCTTCTGTTCCACTGGAGAAGGCGAAACTAATGTTCAAATTGGGATTAATGGGGCGAGGGAGAGTGACGGCGTCTCCAGGACACGATGTCTACAGCGGTGGGACAGGACCTGAATGTGGGGTGGCATGGGGAGGTTTAGGGGGGGCACTTTTTAATATAGTTTCCAGGGGATAGTGGGGTATCATCCCTGGGGTAGCAGGTCAGGGGCAGGCAAGCTCTTCTCCATCCAATGTGGAATATTTGGGCTCAAAGCGGCAGGACAAAGAGGGGGCTGTGAGAGTGAACTTGCCTGCAACCCTGCACGGCCCCCGAGCACCCTTTTCCTCTGTTTGCTGGCTGCCTGGCCAGGAGGGTCGGACCCGTCCTGGCAGGTCAGGGATGCTATGGAGACAGGCCTCGAGGAACATCGCAGCAGCGCTCGCTGTGTGCAATGGTGTGACCCACGCTTTCGGGGTGCAACCCACGCCTTAAGCACACAGGGCTCTTGCTAAAGATAGCAGCTTGACCAAGAGCGAATCATGGAAAGCACTGGGTCGGCCACACATTCCCCACCTGCCTCCTGGGGGGCATCGCCATTGCCATCCCCATCCCCGGTGGTACAGGAACCTGCTATCTCGCCAGGCATCGCCTGCTCCGGTAGCGAGTATAGCAATGAGCAAGGCGGCTCATTCATGAGCTTCCTTCTGGCTCTGCTTTTACATCACAGTGCCTGTTTTTGACTCCTCGCTTGACCATTAGTCCTTGCAGGTGGTGGATCCTCCAGCCCACATCTGGAAGGAGAGCTGGGAGTGGGAAACACCCTGCTTAGCATCCCTGTGCTGTGAGCCCAGGTCCTGGCTGCACAGTAGATGCTGCCAGGGATGGAAAACTAGGTCTGTGTCTGCTGCCCTGGGCTTCACGGACCTGTGCAAAACATCCCTGGAAGGAGCCAACTCCGGGGGAGACTCAGGCATAATATGCACATGAAGCACAAGCTTCACTGGATGGAAGATTTCCTGGCCTGCCAACAACCCAGTGATCAGGGTGGGTTATCACTGCCTACCCCCCATGGCTCTGCACCAGACCGAAGCCTCAAGGAGCAGCTACACAATGCAACCGGTCGACATTCATGCTCTCAGCTTTGGAGGTCGTGGTTCAGTCTCTAGAGCCACCCAGACAGCAGGGTTGACAGTACTGAGACTACTGCCCCCGGCAATCCACCGGCACTTGAACCCAGTGCGGTTGTATGTCCACCATTAGCCCACTCGCCTGCCTGACAGTGCCAGGAGAGATGCTTTAGAGGGTGTATCTAGAGCAGTGATTCTCAACAGGGTGCCCCAGGAGGCCGCACAGCATTAGCACCGCTAGGTGTGCAAACGGGATGTGCAAGATACACCCAGGTCTGGGACAGACATTGCATCAACCGGTTTGTTAAGTCTGAGACTACATTCGACCAGGTTTGTCTCAAACCGGTTTCAGCCCTTTTCAAACTGGTTTATGTGCCCTGAACATCTGTTCTGTTCCAGGTTTAAACCAGTTTCTGATCACTTAAACCGGTTTATGTGTAATGTCCGTCCCTAGCCCGAGATTGCAAACAGGAATTCATAGTTGGGGTCTTTTGAAGAACTTTGCAGCAGAAAACCTGCTCTATTATTTCTCCAAAAAAAAAGAGTGACAGGTAAGAGCTGGTGTTTTCCCAAGGGGGTCTTGATCTACCCAGGGGTGTCGCAGGTCTAAAACCCCTGGTCTTGAGTGACCCGCCTTACTCTTCCTCGCATCCACCATCATTGGTTTAGAGATGCCAGAGAATACAGCCCTCATTGGTGTGTTTAATACCTATTAATAGACTGATCAGCCATGAATTGGTCTAGCCCCTTTCTGAACCTGGCTATGCTATCTGCCCCGACAGCTTCCTGCGGCAGTGAGTCCCACAGGTTAACAACGCAGCGAGTGAAAAAGCCCTTTCTCCAAGTTCATTTTAAGCTCATCGCCTATTTATTTCAACGAGCGCTCCCTAGTTCCAGCATCTGGGACACGGCAAGTAGCAGTTGTCATTTGGTCCACACCCTTCGTGATCGTATAGACCTCTACCATATCCCTCCTCAGCCGCCGTCTTTCCAAACTGAAGAGTCTCACCCAGCCTTTCTAGTCTTTCCTAGTACGGCAGCTGCTCTATATCCCCAATTATTTGGGTTGCTCTTCTCCGTGCCTTTTTTAATCTTACTACATCCTTTTTGAGATGAGGAGACCAAAACTCATGTGAGGGTACCACCCACCCCTGCATCAGGGTTCGCAGCAAATGCATCCAACCGGGAACACTGCCAGGCTCCGGCCAGGTACATCCATCAAACCATAGCTCAAGTTAATCTGCTTATCCTGAATGCGTTAATAAGCCTAATAAGTAAATCCCCTGTCTGGCAGGGCCTGTGTGGGTAGCTGGGGTATCATGTGCAGTCCCATACGGCTTTGTTGGCATGCCATACTCATTTCCAGTTCTCCTCGCAACCAAAGGAGCTCCTCTCTTGAAGTCGGCTCTTTCACCTCGGGATGAGGCCTGGTTCTTCTCAGGGTGCCAAGGTTGGATGGAGATTTCTCCCTGGCTCCATTTCTGAAACCTCCCTCAGGCCTAAGCCAATAAGTAGGGAGGGCAGAAGGGCAAAGATCTGCATCAGAGAGACATGGCTGTCAGCGGCTCTCCGAGCCAAGCTGCTGGATGGACATGCAGGCAACAGATGGTCCCGAGCAGCTTACAAAGGAGCTGAAACCATCTGCAGTACAGGAAGGATGCAGCTCAATGGGTTTTGTGCCTCTTGCATGGCATTAGAAAAGATATACAACCCACCAGGTTTTACCACTGTCTGATTTTATTATAGCCCAGCCCTTAAATCCTGCTTGTAGGACAATGATCCATCTAACCCGAGACGTTTCCCCAGTGGTATCCCCAGCACGGCTTGCTGCTGGTCTGCCTGGGAGGAATTTGCAGCCACAGCAAACGGCCCCGCACATGACCAGCCCGTCCCTTTGGCTGCCTGCAGCATCCCCCTTCCTCGTGCCTCAGCCGTTGTCTGCAGGGTTGTCCCTGGGACCCGAGTGTGAATGAAAATCGGGGCCCTGCCTTCCTCTAGGAGTGGAAAGCACCAAGGTATTTTTGTCCCGGCTGGAAAAACAGCCCCCCAACAGCGTGTGCTTGGTGTCGTAGGCCTGCCGGAGAGCGCAGGTGCCGGCCCTCTGACTCCAGGGGTCCATAGATGTGCAGATAGCCCTGCCGGTTTGCAGCACTCACGGCCTGTCCAGCATGCAACAGCACTGGCACGGAGGGGGCCGATTGCCTGGTTTGGAGGTGAAGGGGGATGCTTTTCCCAGGAGGTCCCATGTCACCTGCACCCGGCTTAGCCAGACGGCACCCGGCGAGCCCGACGGGCCAGGAGCGCCAGCACGGGGCTGCTCTCCCTGCTCATGGGAAGGGGATGGTAATGAAGCTGGCAGTGGCTCCGGGAGGACTGGCAGTCCAACCGCTTGCTTCCTGCTGCGCTGTAATCACTTCTCAGGCATTTCTCTCCCCAGTTGTGCCAGAGACAGAGCTCAGCAAGCGCTCGTGCAGCAGGATCCCCCAGGGAGGCACTCTCCGGCCAGATGGCACGGCGGATCGCCAGCCAGGCAATCAGCTGCAGGATGTTTAGAGAGATGCACTAAGATACCCAGGGCTGAAAGGCGGAGAGGGGAAGGCCGGCAGAACCGTCTCCCTACTCCTCCAGCATGTTCTTATCCAGGGCTAGGGACGGGGTCACTTTGCAACAGGCTCTGCCCTTCAGGGGTCCTGCCTGCACCAAACAAGAGCCCGGGAGCAAGCTGCAAGGCGGCACCAGTCTGGAGCCCTGTGAGATGAGGATCCAGTCCTCCCGGCTGCAAAGCGGCATCCCCTCCGGGTCACGCGTGTGAGGACAGAGGTGCGGGAGGGACACCTCTGATGGGCGAGCGCCAAAAGGACCAGACGTGGGTTCTGCCTTCTCTCTCCGTCGGTCCAAGACAGATGCTCCACAAACCGCCTGCAATACGAGACGTCCTGCCGTCACCTCCTGCACGAGTCTTCAGTTAACAGCTGAC